ATCCAGTCCTTTTTCGGTTTCCTAAATCTAAACATTCTGGATTGTAATTGCAAATGGTGTTCATCAACAATTAGTTTCCAGTTTTAAATTCTCATATTTAATGATGTCAAAATGATACAAATGGAACAAGCAATCTGATCAGAACATACTCAAATAGCGTATGTGCAGCCAATAAAATACCTCAATAGTAACAATTAATGGAAATACTATAAACATAAATATGGAAGTAAATTACAATAAGAGTTTATTTGAAATTTTTATGTGTGACGCGTTGGTACGAAGAATTCACCAAAAAAGAATTAGATAGAGATGTCGTTTCACGCATTTTAAACTTTTGTGAATGGTGAAGGCTATAGGGCCTGGTGAACCCGCGTGAATGTGTTCCCAAATTGAAGGATCATCGTTCTCTTTCCCAGTAGCATGGATTTTTTGTAGTAGCATTCTTTTTTTTCTTTCGCTAGCTGTTCTTTTTGTTGAGTGTGAAATGATTCTTTGCTTGTTGGTTGAATTACGCAAAGTTGGTAGGCTTCAGAGTTTTATAGTTCTATTTCTTGTTTTTGGTGGGAGAGATTGTTGGATCCCCCACCAAAGGGACAGAAATTTTGGCTGAAAATCTTCTAAATAAAGAAAGAAAAAATTATCGAGTATTTAATGAGGCAAACATCCATAAAATATCCAATTACAAATAGTGATTGCAATATTTTTCGTGGTGTTTGTTCTCTCTGTTTTGTTTTCAACACACTTGAATGTCGTTGGGAATGCATGTTGTTACTGGAAAATGGTTAACTATTCGATTATAAATATGCTTTCTGGTGCTCTAAAAAGTACCTAACTGTTCGAAGTTTCTATACACTGCAGGCAGGGCCACAGGACGCTCCACTTCAATGTCTTATAAAACGTGACAAGAAGAATGGAACATTTTACCTCTATCTTGCTCTCTCACCATGTAAGTTTTCGAGATTCTTAGCTATATACCACCGAGTACCGACTGATGGATAGTTTGCTCCTTAAACATATAATTGCTTACTTTAATGCGGTTAGATGTTTTGTGTTTTGTGTAAATATTACCTTAATAAATAATTACCTTTAAAGTTACGGAGAGAAAATAAAAAGATTCTCTGCTGCTAATTTTATTAGTTTTTCTTTCTAACTTAATCTTGATCGTTAATCAAGCTGGGGCATCATCTTGAAAGAAAAATTTAATCCAAAATCAAGCAAAGTTTTACAACTGTCTGTACCTAACATTAGATACTTTGTTTACTGATCAATTATTAGTATTGACTTACTGTGTCGAAGTACCCGAGCATCGGATGCTTGATTTCATTTGCTTTCTGGTGATAGTTTGCTATCCTCTTGGTGTCATATTTTCTCCGGGCTAATTTTATACGTGAACCGACACACACCATCATAGGAATTGAAGTCTTTAGCATATAGTTCATTTCATCGTATGTAGAACTCTTCTATTAGCATTCTTGTGCCTGTAGTTTTTTTTTTTCTTTTTTTTTCTCTTTTCTATTGAGTGTAATTTAAAAATATTTCGAAAATTGTGACATTACGAGATCTATGACACACACACACACGCACACACACACACACACACACACATATATATATATATATATATATATATATATATATATATGTATATATATATATATATATATATATATATGTATATATATATATATATATGTATATATATATATATATATATGTATATATATATATATATGTATATATATATATATATATATATATATATATATATATATATATATTGGATTGAGTAGAAAGTAGACAAAATGCTCCCCAAGTATTTGAAATCCTTTCCGGCTAGGGACCTCAATAAGAATTGCTATTAGACTGTAAAGCTACCCGATTGAAATGTTTGAGCATTTCATTTGCTACTAGATGGTTGATTTAGGTTTTTTCGTTTTTCCTTATATGGGTCTTGGATTTCGTTTTTCTTTCTAATTTTCTCTCTATGATTTTCCGGTTTTTGTTGCAGCATTCACGGACAAAGGAAAGTTTCTCCTAGCAGCACGGAGATACAGACGTGGTGCCCACACTGAGTACATTATATCACTGGATGCTGAAGATTTATGTCAAGGAAGTAAAGCTTATGTTGGAAAGTTAAGGTAAAGCTTTCTATCCACCAATTCTTTTGTTGAAATTACAATTTATTTTTCTTCTTGTTAAACTAAAATGGCAAAAGAAAAAAAGAAAAAAAGAAAAAAAAAGAATGAAAAAAGAAAACAAAAAAGAAAGAAGAAAACTCAAAATTCTCCGCAATGGCAGGTCAAATTTCCTGGGCACAAATTTCACAATCTACGACAGCCAAGCACCATACGAAGGAGCAAAGCCATCGAACGGCAGAGCAGGGCGCCGTGTGGCAAGCAAGCAGATAAGCCCCCAGGTGCCAGCCGTCAACTTCGAAGTGGGACAGGTGTCCTACAAATTCAATCTCTTGAAATCCAGAGGTCCAAGAAGGATGATGTGCTCTCTTACATGCCCATCATCATTATCAGAGAAAATCTCGACGAAGAAGAAGGTGGAGGAGTTCTCTCCAGTTCCTGGATATACAGTTCTGAAGAATAAAGCTCCGAGATGGCACCAGCACTTGGAATGCTGGTGCTTGAATTTCCACGGTAGGGTTACAGTTGCTTCGGTCAAGAACTTTCAGGTTGTGGCCACTATCGATCAGAGTAAGCCAGGTGGAAAGGGCGATGAGGAAACTGTGCTCCTACAGTTTGGTAAAGTTGGTGACGACACTTTCACTATGGATTTTAGGCAGCCTCTCTCGGCGTTTCAGGCCTTTGCTATTTGCTTGACCAGCTTCGGAACTAAACTCGCGTGCGAGTGAGAATATATATATGTATAACAAGAAACCTTAAAAAATATGTTGGGATTTGTTGTCCTGATTTTGCCCCCTGTTGTTGTTTATCTATCTATTCTTATGTTTGTTCTGATTGCCAATAAATATTGTATGTAAATTATTATCCCATAATTGTGTTGTTATTAGTTAGTTATTACACTGAGTTTCAAGTAATTATAATTCGTGTGTCTGTGTGTATAGGGCAATTTATATGGAGGAATTTATACTATTTTATATAATAAAAAAGGCAATAAACAGCTTTTCTTTTTTTAAATAATAAATATGTTTATTCAAACAAAATAACTCTAGGACTTCAATCCTCAGACTCTAACCTTTGGATTTACAGGGTTTAAACCATATTCTTTTTAATGAACTTCGTAAATTGTCATTATAAATTGTGCGAACATCGATCTAGAGAAAATGTTATGTCAAAACCACAACAACTATTGATAGAAATATCGAGCAATGCTAATATAACCAAAGACTATTTGCAAACAACAGTTCAGCTAGTAAGCATATGATCGAACGGTAAGGTAACAAGAAGCAAACACTGAACTAGGTTAAGATTCATAAGCATATCACAGATCCAGGGGAATTCTTATATTTTCAACAGCAGAACAAAGTCACAAACCATCTTTCATAACGAAAGCCAAATCCATTCATTTTAGACTTCCAACATACGAGCAATACAGAGGCCGAAAAGACCAAAAAGAAAAAAAAAGAAGGGAAAATAAAAGGTTCATGTACGTACACCACCACTTTTAAAACTCAAAGGGCAATGATAAGTGCACACGGTTAACTTTCCTCCCGAGTCGGTTTTTACTTCTTTCCACGCAGTTTCGCACCAAGAGCCCTCTCCAGTTTGGCAATGATCTGCTGATTCGGAATTGCTTTTCCGGATTCATATTCTTGTATGATCTGGGGTTTCTCATTTATAATCTGCATTCAACAAGCACATAGGTTTATTGATGAACAGAGAACCTCGAGCTTGTTATTGAAAGCACCTTTGCATACGTATTTTGTGCATCAAACATAAAAAGGAGATGTAAATTCAATCAAACCTGAGCAAGTTGAGATTGTGTCAGCTTCTTATCCATTCGAGCCTGCATGATTGCCTTCTTTAATTCAGTGGGAACCTTATCGTCTGTGGAAAAAGTGAAAAATATTACAACGGGACCACTCTAGAGAATCACCATATGACATTGCAATATGCTGTAACATAGGTATTTTCGAAAATATATATCAATGACCGACCAGGTTTTAAGCTTCCGTATAAAATCCCAATATAATTTAACGAATCTGTCTTCTATTGTGTTTTTTTTAATCGATAAGGCATGTACTAAACAAAGTATTTAAACAGACCAATCACATATGATATAATATTAAAATTCAACGAGTTGTTAGAAATAACAGTCATGTTAACATTTCAATGTACCACTCCATCAATCACATGGTCGAATTCCAATAGGATAAGCAACTCTATGACACCATTTTATCTGTCCTATAACATTACACCAGAAGTGTATATCCAGTTGTATTTGCCCAAACAAACCCTTGCTAGTCATACACAAATCAACTCGAGCATGCAAACTCAAACAATTATTGCTAGACAAAAGGCTCTAAAATGAAAAGTTATATAGGAATATTCTTGTAGAGCTAACTTTATGTCAAAAAAATTCATGTAAGATAGTAAAACTTAAAAAGTTAGTTCTTTTTCTTTTCCATTTGCGTCAATTAGAGTTCGATTAGTGAGGACTAACGGGAGTTTCACTAATGAGCTACGGTAAACAATTATTTCTTTGCCATCAGCTAGATATTAAATAACTAAATTCTACATTCTCCATCTATTTCAATCTGTAGTAATCTTCTAATTTTAGTCTCTATCTGGTGGAGGGACTTATCGAACTTCCCAAGAATTATAAAGACTAGAGATTGATTCTTGAATCCATCAAGAAATTAACATATCATTTAACCCACTCCAAAAGTCACAACTCATTTAAATTTGCGGAGGAGTGGGATCAACATGTTCCAGATCTTCGTCATCCTAAAAATAATCAGAAATGAGGAGATAAAAAATGCCATTTTTAACTAGTTTATAGACAGGAGTTTAGTGAATGCAGATGTCCATAATGAAATGGAAAATATTAGTTAGTGGTTCAATCGTGTTTTAAATTTTTGCAACTTCTTAAATACTAGACCAAACTATGTCCGAAATACTACACTGAGCTATGTCCGAAATGAAATCATAGACAAAATTTATACCTGTTCACATTTTTATCATGGAGGGAGCAGGGTACTGTGACAAGAATATAAATAAATAGAAAAGGTACAATATTATTGAAGATATAATTTCAATTCACTGAACAATTATTGCATGAGCAGATGATTATAACTACTTCAATTAAAAGCAACAGATTATGCAAAATATTCAACTCACGGGTAAGATTTTCAGTGTCTTCATCAAGCTTCCTGGTGTTCAAGGAGGTGCTGCTTGAAGCGGCTCTGTTTGTCCCAGCTTGTGCTGCAGCATAGAACATAGTTATAAATTCTTAATCAGCTACATAAGTTGGATCTTAGTGATGCAAGACAAAGATTGAATGAGTAAGTTTATAATTTTCCATCCGGCCAATAATTTGCAACAATTCACAAATTCTGGGACCTCAGCTTAGATTAGACCTCTAAACTTACGTCAAATTTATTTACAATGAGTCCAGAAAATATATATATATATATATATATACACACACACACACACACAGACACACATATTGCCTTTCTTGATCCCCATTTTTGTTTTTTCCAGAAATAAGTTATTTGTAGTTTCAAGTCAAAAACTTATCACGTATGAAATTTTCAAATTCGGTGAACCGTGAAAAAAATCTTCCAACAGCTCTTAGACTCCTATATGATGGCTAAATCAAAAGATTAACCCAAACAACACAGACTATTTCCATTTTTAAACATCGAAATCAAATGGACACCACCAAGCATAAATCCATACACACAACACGATCATATGAATAGTCCCTGAAATGAGTGAACAACATACGACTATGAAAATACCAAAATTCCCGGAAAACAAGAAAACCAGCAATCCATAAATTAAAATTAAACGGACAACACCAAGCATAAATTCACACACAACAGCACGATTATATGAATAGTCGCTCATAAAAATGAACACCATATTACAATGGAAATACCAAAATTTCAGGAAAACAGGAATCTAAAAATTAGGGGACAAAATACAAATAAAATGAGGATATCGCAATACCTAAAAAAACAAAACAGAAAAAAGAAAGATAATTGATCCACAACTCAAGCTTCGAGCGGATTGCATACAGTTAACCTAAACAGAAAATGAAGACCAAACGAAAATCGGCAAGAACATCTAAAAACCGTAAATCAAACACAATAAGAGAAATACGCACACTTTTTGACGGTCTCAATCTCGGCACCGGCGCGGCGGGCGGCATTGACGGCTTTCTCATCCTTGCGAGCGGCGGATGTGGGTGCCTTCTTACGGATAACCACCGGTTCCCAGTCCTGAGAAATTCCTGCCATTTTTATCTCGAGATTTTAATCTTCGTCCGCCTCTTTTCTTTCGTTGGAGAATCGATTGGGTGAGAGAGTGGGTTTTCTTTTTTGCGTTCAGCTTGTGAATGAATTTGGGGAAGGAGATTTATGGATATTTTGGTCTATTTATATTATATATAGAAAGGATGTTTAGGGGCTGTTTGGCAACGAGTTTGTGTAAACCCTCGACTCAACGGAATTTCTTTATTCGTTTTTCTTTTTGTTCTTATCTTTCTTTTGGGTATTTTAAGTTTGTATAATTACAACCACCTCCTTAAGGTACCTTAAGGTAAGATCTACTTAAAAACAACCCTTTATGTTTTAAAAATTACATAATTTCCCTGAAATTTGTAATTGTTTTACATCCATCCCCTATAAAAGGTGTTGATGTAAGAAATATACAAATTTCATGGGGTTGGATGTAATTATAAAAAATAATGGGTTTGTTCGTAAATAAATCTTATCACAGGAGAGGTTGTTGTAATTTACAAATAAGTTTTAACAAACGGAATATATACTATCTTTTTGGTCAATGGATCTTATCGGATACAAAGAAAGTAGAAATTTACAAAAAAAAAAGAAATTTTTGAGATACTTAAAATTTAGGGATGGCCATGGGGCGGGTACGGGGCGGGTATCGCAATCCCCGCACCCGCCCCGTTTAGAAAATCAAGCAACCCGCACCCGCCCCATACCTGTTGCGGGTTGGAATTTTAGAACCCGCCTCTGACCCATTTTGCACCCGCGGGTACCCGCCCCGTTTGACGACCCGTTTTTCCTTTTCTCTTCCATTTAAACATTTCCTTCTTATTTTGAATATAAAAATCAATTTTAATTATGTTCCTTAAAAAAAAACTTTTTTTTTCAATGCATATATATATATATATATATATATATATATATATATATATATATTTACTAATTACAATTAAAATATAAATGCAAATCAACAATCATTTTATAAAATAACATATTACATCATAAATTAAAAGCAAGTATCGTTGTCTTTTAACAAGCCACCCAGTCACCTATGTTCGACAATACTTAATACAAAATAAATAGAAAGAAAATAAATAGAAAAATAATACATACAAGGGTATTATAAGTAAATAAAAAATACGGGTGGTAAACGGGGCGGGTACGGGGGAAATTTTACTATACCCATACCCGCCCCTTACCCGTTGCAAGTATAAATTGTAAAACCCTTACCCGTTGCGGGAATAAATTGTAAAACCCTTACCCGCCCCAATCCTAAACGGGGCGGGTATTACCCGTCTAAAATGGGGCGGGGCGGGGCGGGTACCCGCGGGGTCGGGTAATATTGCCATCCCTATTAAAATTGACATTTGTCACCACCAAAACGATCGACTTTTATTTCGTAAAGCTCTCTTCATCGAAATCAAGTTGAGTCGACCCGGGTCCATGTATCTAATGAATTAGTTCGATAAAAGCTCGAGTTTTTCTTTTGGAGTCAAAGCTCGTACTCATTTTTTGTTATTCATAAGTTCGTTTGTGATTGTAAGATTTTTTATTTATTTTAGTATTTTTATTAAATATAATAAAATAATAAAAATTATGCTCGAGTCTTGCTATGATATTTTAAAAAATTGAAATATGATCGGAAATCGGAATCTTGTAGATATTTCAATTGCGATCCAAAAACATCGAAATCCAATTTTTGGGATTTCGAATGAAAAATATTGTTACAAAATCGAAAATTTTGGATCGGAAACGGATCAGAAATTCGGTTCCAATTTCCACCTCTTGATACAAGTGATACTTAGGCCAATGTGCAAAGAGAAGAGTACTAAATCCTAAAAGCTTGTTTACAAACAAGATGCTTCTGCTAGTTATATTGATAAACATTCTAATATTCATATCAACTCAAGGAAAAAAAAAAAAAAAACCTAAATTGCATCATCCATAAACCATATCCGACTATTCGTTTTTCAAATTTCGTCGCCTTTGCTCAGCTCGGTGAGGATAGCGTTACCCGTCTGCAAATCTGGCATTTCATCTACAACACTTGTGTTTACATGGAGAGGCACCTACACAAACCAAAACCTCCGTCGTGTCAGAAAATTAACTCGAACAATCTTACCACTTGGTAATATGACCTCTATGTTTATAGGCATAACTTTTATTTAATAACGGAACTATCAGACAATATGGAAACGAGAAACGATTCCGAGAAAATTATTATCAAAGACATGAGCCAAAGGGAATCGAGATTTGTTGGTTCTAGTTCTACGCTGTCAGTGTCAATTGCATTACGAAGATAAAAATGATTCTTCGATTCTCTAACATTCTGGTACATTAGCGTCTCGAATCACTCATCACATGGTTTCATACGCAGTCGAACAGAGATAAAACTAGTCATAAAAAAAAAATAGAGAAACAAAATGAAAGAAAACGAATCGAGATACTCACAACTACCAACCCCTCTGATGCAGGTTCCTTGACGTTATCTGGATGCACCATGCCAAGGTTTTCCAAGTTTTTATCTACATGGGGACATGCCGACGAGTTCTGTACAAACAAGAAAGCCAAATTCAGAAAACGGAAAAAAAAACACTACTCAGCGCTCTAAAAAATTAGCACGATAGAAACTCTCTCGTAAATTAACACGTCAATGAATTCTGTATAAACAAACAAGTCAAGAAACAGCACATCTTGAATTCTCAGCAAGTGGGAATAAATACGTACTCGCACTTCAAGTATATCAAACAATATAAAAAAGAAATATACGAGTAGAGGAAAGAGAGAAAGACACTCACACTAGCCAAACCTTCTGCTGCAGGCTCCTCCCCTTTACGTGGACGGACCATATCAGTATTTTCCAAGACTTTATTATCATCGGGACATGTCGATGAATTCTGTATAAGCAAATAAATATGGACTCGCACTTCAAGCATATCAAACAATATAAAAAAGAAATAGAGGAGTAAAAGGAAAGAGAGCAATACACTCACACTAGCCAAACCTTCTGCTGCAGGCTCCTCCCGTTTATGTGGTTGGACCATACTGATTTCTTCCGAGTTTTTTGTAGCAGGACATGTCGATGAATTCTGTACAAACAAATAAGTCAAATACAGCAACAAAATTAACTCTTAAAAAATCTCGAATCTCCGCAGATAAGTCAACCACACATACCATGTTTCCGTCGTCGTCATTGGATAAAATTTCAGAATCAACAGGTACACTTACTTGCACTGCATTGTCATTTTTACCCTCTACAGAATCAAGATTATCGACAGTCCTCGAGCTCTCCTTGTTGTCACTATTACCCTGCAGAAACACAAATTTTATTTGTATGAAAAAAATAAAAAATACTCCCTGTAATCTCGAAAAAGAGTAATTCGGACAAAGATTAAACTACCTCAGTCTCGCCGGATTTATCACTTAGCAAAGAAGCAACGGTTTGAAGCTGATCGATGTCCCAACTTAGAACCTTACAAACAGCTAGAGCAAACGCCTTATGCGCTCTCTTCTTCTTCGTTTTGCCAGCGGCGATCGAGTGTTGTACGAGAGCCAAACAACCCGTATACTTCTTCCCCATTTTCTTGCCCCCAATAGCACCACACACCAGACAACTAAACTCCCCTTTAGCGAAATTCTTCTCGTAACACTCCCTCAATTCGGCATCCTCCTTAAACACCTTAAAGAAAAAATTGTATTCATCGCGCGCATCATCGTCTTCATTCGACGAATCATCATCCTCCTCGTCGCTACTACAATCCATTGCATCAGAATCATCATCGTTATTATTACACCTAAAAAAATCACGGACAACATTGATGGCATTCTGATGGGCATGCCTTGCAGCCGATATTAACTGATCTTCAGGGGAGATTGGAATAGGCTTTGGGTCGGTTTTTGCTTTCCAACTAGGCCAGCCGCTGGCGGCTTCCGCCAGCGGTGGGGTTGGCAACTTCCATTCCGGACTAGGACATGTCAATGAATTCTGCACAAAGAAAACAAGTCAAATACAACAAAAAAAATCACTCTCCCAAAAACTAAAAAATCCCGATTAAAATCCTACAATTTGACAATTTCACTGCCCTGGCTTCGTTAAATCCAAGTAGAATTCTAATTTAAGCATAATCATTCGGGCTCGGGAGTAAAATGTTTAAATCTATTATTTAACTTCGATTTTAAAGATTCTAAATTGGGAATTTATAATTGTCCTAGGAGTCAATTTGTTGACCAAACTTAATTGTTTTTCTTCAAAACAAGTGAAACCAGGTCGAGCCGACCCATTTCAAGTAACAATAATAATTCTAAATTTTAGGAATATTAGTAAAATTTGAGGAAGACTGAACCCTAGGACAAACAATGAACAAAAACGATCAAGAACTGATCAAGTAAATATCAATCACAATAAGCACATGTTTTATTTATGTTCATGCATATAATTTGGAATGCAATTTAAATGTACGAAGATATGTAAAGATTACGATTTTACAGCCCCTTTCGATTTTACTTAAAAATCCCGATTTTGACTACCGCGAGTAAAGAATAAAAATATGTACTCGCACTACGAAAACACCAAATGACTCCAACTAAACATACCATATGTCCGTCATCGGCATTGGATAAATTCCCAGTAACAACAAGCCCACTTTCTTGATCTGCATTGTCGATTTTACCCTCTACAGTATCACCCTCGACAAAATCAACATTGTTCTTACCATTCCCCTGCAGAAACACAATCTTTCATTTGTAAACAAACGTTCGACGTAATCTCAGAAACACGGTAATTAAAATTAAAATTTAAACCACCTCAGCCTCGCGGGGTTTATCGCTAAGCGAAGAAACAATGGCGGGAAGCCGATCGATGTCCCAACTAAGAACCTTACAAACAGCCAGCGCAAACGCCTTATGCGCTTTCTTCTTCTTCTTCGTTTTGCCAATCGATATCGAATGTTGGACGAGAGGCAAGCAGCCCGTATACTTCTTCCCCATTTTCTTTCCCCCAACAGCACCACACACCAAACAACTAAACTCCCCTTTAGCGAAATTCTTCGCATAATAATCCCTCAATTCGGCGTCCTCCTTAAACAGATTAAAGAAAAAACTGTACTCACCGCGCCCACAGTCTTCATCCATCGAATCATCATCATCATCCTCATCGCTGCTGCTATCAATTGCATCCGAATCACCATCGCTGTTAGACCTAAAGAATTCATGGACGGCCCTGATTGCATGGTGATGGGCACGCCTTGCGGCCGATTTCAATTGGTCTTCGGGGGAGAATGGGAGAGGGTTTGGGTCGGGTTTTGCTGCCAAATTAGGCCAGCCGCCGCTAGCGGAAGCCGGCGGCGGAGGGGTTGGGCACTTCCATTCGATGCCGGGGGATGAAATTGGTTCTGGTGCGGCGGTGGCGGGATTGTTCGCGGTGTTTTTCTTGTTTCTGGCTCCGCGATTTTTCACTTTCTTGAATTGGGTGGCGTTTGCGGGCTGCAGGTGGTGGCGAGCGGGGGAGGAGGCGGCGGCGGCGGCTGCTCTAGGGGGGCCTTGGTGCCAGAGGGAATGGAGGTAAATTACCTCGTCTCTGAGCCGTTGTTCGTATTGGGGATCCATTGGAGGGAGAGTGAGCTCTGTAGAATGAGAATCACACGCGCAACTTGTGAGTGAAGATGAAAATGGCGTGGAAACCTTGTTTGTAATATATATACACGCTGACCAAAAGTACATATTTAATGCATTAGTTATTATTAATAGTTATATACTTATATTATTATTAGGCTTAATAATGAAGTTCCATTTTGATCCGCCCTAAAACCGCATTTGACTACTTCGAGCTTGAGTGTGAATGAGGGACTTTGATGGGCAACCTTGTCGGTTTACTATGCAAGAGATAAGAATCGAACTGATGTCGGAGTTAGCACTCCGACGGTCGAGTTAACGAATCGAAGGTGGTTTTTAAGAATGGATGTGTTACATTAATTTAGAAAAAAATAGATAGATGTATGCTGGATGTTGAAGTGTGTGAGTCTGTATTTTATAATACCTTGAAATAAATTCTGCACAAATCCCGGACGAGTAGGCGTAACCTGTCGCTTTCATATCTTTACTGGGTAATCCGACTCATGATTACCCTCAGGATGGCTACGGTTGTTCTCTACCGGATTACTAGGAATAGCATGGCCCATACGTCTTCCCTGTTGGCGGCGGTCTCTGGCCATTCGGCCATTAAATGCTGGTGTCAGAGCAATTAATGCGTCGACGGGGGCATAAAGAATGATCGTCAGTCTTCCATTAATGTACCCCCTCAACGCCTGTTGCCACTTATGTCCACCGTGGGGCCCTTGCGCCCCCTCACCCAGGCGAGTAGCCCGCTCGGACCCATCGGTTGTTTATCCTCCCGATGACTAGGTCTAGACACGGCCACGGGCCGGTTTTGGGCCCCGAACCGGCCCGAACCGGCCCGTTGACGGCCCAAACCGGCCCGTTGACCAAGTGAACCGGCCCGCCCTACCCGGGACGGGCCCGGTTATGAGAAATGGTGAACCGTGAACCGCCGGGCCGGCCCGGCGATTCACCCGGATTTAAAAAAAAAAAAAATTTCAAAAAAAAAGCAAATAACGGCTAGTGAACCGGCCCGGGTGAACCGGCCGTTATTTACTTTTTTTTGAATTTTTTTTCCCCCCCAATTTTTCCTATAAATACCCTCACACCCCAACCCAATTTCTCACCAATTCATTTACAATTCTCTCTACTTCTTCAATATCAAAGTTTAGTAAAGTTCAATTCTCTCTTTAGTTTTTGCATTCTCGAATTTCTCTTCGGTTCATAGTCAAAAAAAAAAAGAAAAAAAATTCTTTTGCATTTACGAATTTCTCTTCAATTGTTAGTAAAAAAAAATTGTATTGCATTTCCGAATTTCTCTTCAATTGTTGGAAAAAAAAAAACAAAAGATTGTTTTTATTTTTTGAGAAAAAATGTCTTCAAGTTCACGTCGTAGCGGAAAAGGAAAGGGAAAATCCGTAATTCCTCCCGAAATGGACTACGGTTATGATGGTTCTTGGGGTCATGATATTCCATCAATAATTCCCAATTCCTACACCGACCACATACCGATAATTCCCGAGTTGGGCGACTACACCAACATACTCGACGATGATGAGCCGGAGGAAATGCCACCGCCACAACCATCCGGGGGTTCGGTTCCTAGGGTTAGTACTAAGCGGCCATCTCAATCATCAACCACCGAAGGGACCGGTGATGATGTTTCTAAATCCGACATTTGGAGGTTGCATTATAAAAAAATTGAGAAGGCGGACGGAACTTGTCGAGCTCAATGCAATTATTGCAAGGTAAGTCCATTAGTATCAAAAAAAAAAAAAATTCTAGTTTTAATATTCGTAAGCTAATTTTATATTTCTTTTTTAATTTGTGTAGGCAAACTACGCCTTCAAAAAAGGAGATGGATATGGATCTTATTGGCGGCACTTGAGGAATAATCATCCCCAAGCTCTAGGCATTGACAAAAGTCAAACTCAATTGCAAATCGGATCTTCACAGGGAGGTAACGATTCTTCTTTATTTAAATATTCGAAACAAAAAGAAAAATAAGGGCGGGCTATGGTTATTGCTATGGGTCACCTTTCATTTGGTTTTGCCGATAATGATTGCATAATGAATAAATTTAAAGGGATGTATGGTCCTAATTGCACTCGTCAACCTAGATCAACCACTACACGCACCACTAGAAGTATGTTTGAAAGAGAAAAAAAATATTTTAAGGGAACAAATGTTGTCCATGAATAATAAAGTGTCTATTTGTTCTGATATTTGGAGTGATCATTGGCGTCGTAATGATTTCATGGGTGCTATTTGTCATTGGGTTAATAGTGCATGAAAACTTGAGAACAAAATTATTGCTTTTCCGGTTATGAATACTGGTCATACTGCTGCACAAATTGCAATGACGCTTTCACAAGTTTTAGATGATTATTTGCTTACTAGAAGAGTTTTTTCGGTTTCATTTGATAATGCAAGTGCCAATACGGCTAGTATCCCCGTACTCCGAGAGAAATGCATGCCAATTTTAGGGGGAAGGTTTTTCCATGTTAGATGCATTTGTCATGTTTTGAATCTATGTGTGCAAGATGGTTTAACAATATAAAGTTACAAAATCATATTTATCCTATTAGAGCTCTAATTTCTTATATATTTCAACACACATCTATTGTGAAACGATGGAATAGATTTTGTAAGGAAAATGGCAAACATCCTATTGCGTTTTCACGAGATGTTAGTACCCGTTGGAACTCAACCTATAAATTGTTAAGCCAAACTTATGAATATCGAAATTTGTTATGCAACTTTTTTAGCACACAAGTGCCTGCTACTGGATTATTTGTTTTAAACAATCAATGGAATCATGCTTTGTAATATGTAGTCTTTTGGAAATTTTCTCAGAAGCTACTAATGTCTTATCTGGTTCCTCATATCCAACATGTCATTTGGTTATTTATTATTTGTGCAATATTGCCGAGGGTTTTGCGACCGCTGAAAAAAAAGATATTTTAAAAAATTGTGTGGTTGAAATGAAAAAAGAAATTTAGGATGATATTTTAAAAGATATTTTAGGATTGAATTATTAACTGAGTTGTTAAAGGTGTATTACAATCATTTGTTTCCGGAAAATGATGTTATCGTTAATATTGATCCTAACGCTCCTCCTCCTCCTCCTGTTAAACCTAATGTGGATCTTATTATACTCAAGCTACTAGTACTTTGCATGCAATGTTTGATGAATATGTTAGTGAAATGAGTGGAACTCAAAATTTACAAGTTAATCGAGAGTCTACGGATACTTCCAATATGACGACGGGTCAACGATTGGTGTTTGAGCGCTTAAAACGCCCGAGGTCCATGGGTTCAAGTTCCAATCGACGATTGGAACTTGACCAATATCTAACCATTCGTTTTGATTTTCCTCATGATGAAGATCCAAGTGCCTTTTCCAAGTTTGATATATTAGATTGGTGGAAGTCAAAGAGTTCAGCGTTCCCAATTATGTTGATGATTGCAAAAGATGTTCTCGCTTGCCCCGTATCCAAAGTTGCAGTCGAAGCTGCATTTAGTATCGTGGGCCATATATTGGATCAAAGAAGAAGCAATCTCCGCCCCGGCCCGAAAATTTAGAAGCACAAGTTTGTTTGGATAATTGGGGAAAAAACAATTTCCGACACAAAGACGGCCACCTCGCTGTTGATGATGATGACGATTGCGATGAAGCTTACGTTGAAAGTGGGACTTCAGCTTCAGCAAGTCGTGCTTCTACTCTACACACTATGTCTAGCGACGACTAGGGAGGTAAGTGAAGGTAAGAGAACTACGTGGACTTTGATTCCGTAATGGATACGTAGGCAACATCATTTTAAATTCGAAATCTTTAAAATTTTGAATTTAAAATTAAGTTCAAGTCTTTTCATTTATTTTCTTTTCATTTTTCTATTTAAAAGTACTTCTTTTAATTTACTTATTCATAAAATATTTCAAAAAATCATTTTAAATTCGAAATCTTTAAAATTTTGAATTTAAAATTAAGTTCAAGTCTTTTCATTTATTTCCTTTTCCTTTTTATATTTAAAAGTGCTTCTTTTAATTTACTTATTAATAAAATATTTCAAAAAATCATTTTAAATTCGAAATCTTTAAAATTTTGAATTTAAAATTAAGTTCAAGTCTTTTCATTTATTTCCTTTTCCTTTTTCTATTTAAAAGTACTTCTTTTAATTTACTTATTCATAAAATATTTCAAAAAAAAAAAAAATTCAAAATTTCCGGGCCGACCCGGAACCGGCCCGGATAGGCCCGGAACCGGCGGGCCGACCCGGCCCACTGAACCGCCCATACTACGGGCCGGTTCCGGTTTCGGAAAATGTGAACCGTGAACCGGTTTGAACCGGCCCGAACCGGCCCGTGGCCGTGTCTAACTAGGTCCTTGCGAAGAGAGGCCGCATCATTGGAGGGGCCTTTTTTCGTTGGTCTTGCCTCAAAGGGTCCAGGGTGTATTTTTGCTAAATGGATTGAGCCTTGCTTGTTGGGCCCAATTCCATTTCGGATCACAATTATTTTTATTTATTACTCCATCCTTCCCTTAATATTTGTCACTTCGGCCAATTTTTCATATTTCAAATTATTTGTCATTTCACTATTCCAATGAATAATTAATTGCAATTTTTTCAATTTTGCCCTTTCTCACTCATAATTAATTGAAATATAATTATTTTAAAATCAATTAATGGCATGGGCATTTTAGTGATTTACTATACTTTTTGCTACTATCTATGCATATTTACTGAGTTTCTTAATATGTGTGCAACTAACAAAAGTGACAACTATTGAGGGAAGGATGGAGTATTATTTATTTATTTCGAACTTATCATAAAAAAAAAAAAGTTAAGTTTTTTTGCATTTAAACTAATTTATATTGACCTTCAAACCATAGTCGGATTTCGACTCGAGTTGAGTTGATGGGAGACCACGTGCGCATAGCAATGGAAATTTGATCAAATTTTCGATTCTTCACAGAAAAAATAATTTTTAATATATTTCCAAACTAATTTCCAAAATTTTTTTTGAAACTCCGATCCTATTTTCATAATTACA